AAAACCAGGTATTAATTCTGAAAAATTGGAACCTGATATGACTTTCAATACCAATGTTGAAAGTTCAGTTCCACCTAGATCTTCACGCAGGCCGAAAAGTGAAGTTTTGACTACCACCAATGAATTGGATAAAGATATCGAAAAGTTCAACAAGAACAAGGTTAAATCTCATAACAAACGTTCATCAATTGCTATAAGTGATGATCTTGATAAACTCATGGAAAGTGCCAACTCCATTACGCTGCAATTCTATGTATACAGGACTGTCGACGACAAGATAGAGTACCATGAGAGAAAACCACTTTCCGAGCGAGACCAGGAAAAAAAGGAAGCAAAAGACTTAGACGAAACGATGGAGACAGCTCAATCGAACCAAGATACCGGACACAGCTCGAATTCATTTCTTTCAAGGGCCGTTTCTAATCGCACCTCCGATAGCTATTGCACTGCAGACATAACGGGCCCCGACCCCACGTCCGATAACCGTCTCCCCAAAACATCTTTGCCCCCAAGACCAACTGCCGATAACTTACAGCGCGCAAGACAAGTATCTAACCAGATCAGCGAACAACAAAAGCAAGCCCAGGATCCAATACCCACATCTGACACTACAGAATCCCCACGTGGCACTCATGTAGCATCACCAAAGGATGACGACGAATACTACGATATTGACGAGCCCATGGTGCTTAAAAAGCCCGCAAGAGGTAAATCGGTCAAAGACTCTATGCGCAGCATGAAGAAAGTTAAGCATAAAAAGGCCAAATCCAAACGTGTAAGATCCCTGTCCACTCCCGGGTTGAGACCATTCTCTTACCATACATTAATTAATCTACTTGAGAGCACCAATGGGACCATCATCGGCGAAGAATTTGATCAGCTAAACTTACCAATCAAGGAAAAGCAATTGATCGAAAAGATCGTTGATTCCTTATCTAGGCTCACCTCTGACATGGTTCTTGACGAAAATAGATACGATGTTGGAATAGCTAGACTAGAAAAGGCTCATAGGGCTCTTGAGGGTTTTATATAGTCTGAAATATAGATATATATATACATTTTACGCTACTATACTATAAATTCTATGTCAAAATTCTGAAGGTGTTTTATTTTTTCTGTACGGCTTTTTTGCAATAATTTTAACGATCGCTATGTGCAGTACTGCAAGCGCACATTCGTGGGTCATCATTGTCATAATAAACGATAACAAGCACGCTGGTTAATGGAGTCATTCTTATTCATAGTTTGAATTATATAAGTTGAACGACATAGAGCTGTTTTAATATGGCTCTTTCCAATCCTTTTCACGAATCTGATAGAAGTCGAGTAGTATCACCGTCAAATCAATCGGAATCAAACCAGAGTCAAGAAACGCACCCAGCACCAGTGAATCTTTATAAAAACCCAAATGGCATTACGAATTCCACCTCACCGCTCAAAGTGAATGTTAATATGTTAAATCATAGTGACGAAGAATTAGACAGACGAGGCGTGGTATTGGGCGAGCCGTTTAACTTGGCACCATCCCCAAGCATATCGAGCTCGAAGATTAATTTTGACAAAATCACACAACTACCAACTCCTATAATTAATAATAACAATGAGTCTTTTGCTAATTTCAGTCCCCCCAAAGACCAATTTCTTGATATACAGAAATCGCGTAATGTGAAAACCTTAGATGCTAGCAGAGTGGTGTCTGAATACAGGCCGATGCCAACAGGCCAACAAAACTTAGATATACATACTCCCAGCAAAAGGTTCGTTTCCAATCCACTCAATGATTCCTCTGCGTCTATTGGGTCTATTCCAGTGTCTAACATGCCAAGCCCACCCGATGAAGTTCAGTCGAGGTTCTCCAATCACCACTTTTACTCCATTAACTGTGGTAAGGTGTATAATTTTGAGGATGAGATAGGATCTGGTAATTTTAGTACCGTTGTATTAGGAACAAATGTGGAAGATGCTGAAGACAAGGTTGCAGTTAAAATAATTTCCATTCCGCTCGAAAATATGGATGAAATTTATAATTTCAAATTCTTTATAAAGAGAGAATTGAACATATTGCATAATATTAACCATCCTTGCATAATTCGCTTGCTTGACTACAATTTGAACTTAAGTATAGCGAAAACTGAAATTGAAAACCCAAATGCTATTGAGAGCGAAAACGCGTCTGAAGAAGACCTTTCTTTGCAAAGAGATATTAGTAATCTCAAGTCAAATAATGATCAATTAGTATTTTTGAAATATTGCCCTGGTGGTAACTTGTTTCAATTCCTGTTCAAGAACTACGAGCCATATCATGCTAATCCATCTTACTGGTTGATCATTCAAAGAGTTGTGAGTGAGATAATTGTCGCCATTTCGTATTTGCATTTTAATGATATAATTCATCGTGATATTAAATTAGAAAATATTTTGCTTAACTATAAGCTTGACGAACTTCTGAGTATTAGTCAATTAGGCAATTCATTCAATAACCCTGTAATTAATGTGACTGATTTTGGTCTCTCGAAGAAATTGAAGTCGTCAAACGAATTATTGACTACCAGATGCGGTTCTCAAGATTATATTTCGCCAGAATTGTTAATGGGGTTGAAATATGATGGTAAGCTTACTGATTCCTGGTCTGTTGGCGTTTTAATTTATGCACTTCTTGAGAATAGGTTGCCATTTGATATCCCACCTTTTAATACGTCAAGCCCTACCGGGGTATCTCCATCTGTCATCAAAAGAAAAAGAGCAAAAAATAATGTGGCTCACAGAATTGCTATGATTGATTGGGATTGGTTTAAGATCACAAATATGTTGAATGATTCCCTGATAGATAATTCTACCAAGCAAATTTTGCTCAATCTTAAGCATACAGTCGATCGTCTTTTGGTTCGAAAAGACAAAAGAACAAAGGTTCAAGATTTACTAAACCAACAGGATTTTGATTGGATTTCTAGGTCTGTTCCTGACAACTTTAAATTTTAAAAGGGACAAAATAAATTTCCCATAAAACACTAATACCTGTTTCATATTGTTTCTTCTCATTTCCTTAATTTTTACCGTTAAATATTGGTTCTGTGACCATTTCAACAAAAGCTTTTTGATGTTTCACACATTCATCATTCATTCCAGCCTACAAGAATTTAGATGTATTTTTAGTAGTTTAGTATTCAATCGTTGGATATATTTGTAATAATAACTTTCATATATAAGAAATAACAGCATATCTGTAATTAATAGAAGTATTCAATTTCTCTATTCTTCCATTTCCGATCCACTCTCCAGTCATAATCATTGATAATTTTTACTTCACCATTGAATACAAACTTATTGCTATCACTGATGAAAATATTTGCTGTAGATAACCAAGAGTACTTCGTAAAGTCATATGCACCCATTAAACTATACTTTTGAGTGAGGTCAATTTGTTTCATTCTGAGAGGAAATTGTACACCGTTTATACTTGAAAAGTTGTTATTACTGAGGCATAAAGTCAGAATATTGCATGGGAATTTCATTGTTGAAATTTTCGTGATATTATTACTGCTCAAATTGACTTCTTTTAACGTCTTTGATAGCTTGAATTTATGAACATTTCTAAATTTCTGTAAAGTTATAATCAACTTTTGTAATTTTGGAGGGCATTTAAAGTTTTCACATTGAAAAATCCCTCCACCGCCTTGCAAAATCAAGGAGTTTAAATTTCTAGGAAATGATATGCTGTCAAACTTAAATGGTAGATCTCCTCTTAAAGTTAAACAAATTAAAGTTTCAGGTAGGCTTTGAAAATCAATTGAAAGATATGGTAGATATTTGTCCTGGATATGAAGCAGATGAAGCAGTGGTGGACATTGGAATTCGTACCCAAATTCATTGGAAAGATCAACTAATTTCAAATGTCCCAAATTATGTAGTTCTCCCAATTTCAAACTATCAAACTTTAATTCTACACTATCCAACTCTAATGATACCAAAGTACTTGACCAATTCTGCAGGACAAAGTTTGAAATATCTGGAATATTACATAAAGCTAACTCCTCTATTACTGGTAAACGTACGCTATGACAATGGTTGAATGTTGAATTCTTTAGTCTTAATGATTTGGTATTGCCTGGAAGCTTTTTGCCGTTTAATTGAACATCTTCGAACACAAAGTGCTCAACGCTCCGCGGTAGATAATCAACTTTGGAGTGCTGGTGAAAATCGTTTAAATCAAGGCATTCAAGGCTATTAAATAGGGTTGCAACATATGATAAATCAATGTTTATTATTGAACCCAAAAATATTATTCCTCTAGTTCGAGGGCCTACACCAACAGCCAAATTGCGAAGAAAGCTCGATACTTCTTCAGTTGAAAATGCTTTGACGGACCTAACTACTATATCAAATCTGCTGGTTATAAACCGTCGCTTATGTCTCTCATTCGTGAGAAAATCAAACATCTCCTCATGAAAATCAACACATGCTTTCTCATTCGACAAGCTTAAGTCAAATACTATAGACTTAGGAAAAATATTAGTTCCATATGATTCGTCAAACATTATAATGTCTTTCAAGAATTGAACACCGTTTGTTGGACCTATATAAACATGATCATTTTCAGGCAATAACTCATTACTGAGAGTGTCTGAAATAACGATTTTTTTCTCTGAAAGTTTAACATAAGTAGCAAATAGTATCGAGTTATCGTGAAAATTGAAGAATGTCTTTATGAGCGTCTCTAGATCTCTATTCGATAAATAATCTTCTACCTGGAAGATTATGTCATAAGGCAAGCTTGAAATTAACGACATCCTGTCAAACTCTGCTCTGCTAAAATCTAATCTACCTAAGCATTATCCCTTCCTGTTATTCAACAATATATTATATACACATTCTCAATACAGTTCAAATTGCTTTGGATTGATAATGGATGATCACTGCTGTATCTATAGACATTTTCAACATGAACTCACATACATTAACCTGAGAGCTAAATTCGGAATAACTGCAACAAGTAACCAGAAATGTCGCTTCTCAGCATTAACGACATTTTCATTCCCACCTCCGACTTAAACCCTTCACGTAACAATCAGAAAATTAATATTACAACCAGGCTAAACATACTTTGTTGTTGAAATATGAATGGGTCATATCCATCTAGTAATAATCCCATACTGAATGGAGAGCCAGTTGATGCAAAATCTAACCATCCTGGAGGAGAAATACACAACGGAGCAGGAACAAAGTTGGAGAATGGAATACTAAAGAAAGCACCAGATATACCACATATAACGAATAATATTATTCCACTATCTAATGTTTTGAAATTTTATACACAAGAAGCATACAAACAATTAACAACAGCCATAGAGAATTTATCGAGTACTAAAGATACCGAAAATGATTCTAGTAGGAAGATGTTTTTCTTGAATTTAATTATATCCCTAAGACAAGACTTTCTTAAAATATATACTTTGGTCAAATGGGCTAGTTCGTCGAAGGATGTATCTAAACTAATTGATTTATTGAATTGGTTTAGGTCTCAAGATTTTTATTTTGAACAATTAGGATACGGATTAAATGAACTTAATAGGTATTCGGGAGCAAAATTACCAAATTCTGACATAATAACAAGTTTGGAAGTGTTTATAAAGAAGAGACCACAGTTGCCGTCGTATAATTTGATCAATACTCCACCAATATCATCAGAGAAGACTTTGGAAGTCTTGAAAGATTTAAACTTAGCATTAATGGCTAGAATGGCTTTGGTAAACAATTTACCAAAACGATTCATTAATAACTACGAAATAAGAGATGGTAGAGTATATTTTACTATACAAAATGAATTCCAAGTGTCTGTCACAGTTGGGAATGATTTGATTATTGAACAAGAAGACGACTATTATAAGTCACCGTTCTACTTCATTGACTTCAAGTTTCTATTTGGGATAAACCCAGAGACTTCATTAATTACACACAAGGACAACAAGATAATAACCAAGTTACCAAAGTCATCTTTCCAAAACTTAGAAAAAATTGTAAATACTGTACTATTAAATCTGGGCCTTGGTGGTTTGTATGATCTATTACATAAATATTCTATCTCATTTAAGCTATATTTAATTGCGAGGCAATTAAAGGATATTTCAATTAACAGTAAATGGAGAAATAATATTCAATTCAAATATCAAAACGGTAAATCATTAATCTTAATCAATTATTGGTCAAGTCATTATTTATCCAAAAACTGGAAGTCCTTTATTGAATTGGGCATTGATAAAAATTACAACTTGAACTTTAGATGGTTCAAAAATGGTACATATGAACTAAATCATGGAATATCCGGGATATTTGATAGAGATAATATAAAGAAACAGCTGGATACTTCTGATGAACAACCAAATGATTTCGAGCCAAAGGAAGAATCATTAGAAGACTTGAGGGAGGATAATAATGAAGATGAATCTGAACCTCAAGATCTAAGCGTAGACTTGATCTTAAACATAATAGTTAATAAACACTCCGAAATGTTAATGACTAGAATCTATGAAACTATACTTAAAAGGTTATCTGACCAAGAAGAATATTGCTCATTTATATCATGCCATCAATTATTGCTCAAATTGACTCCTAATAAATCAGTTGTGTTTGCTATCAACCCATTGACTGGGTTTTTTTATTTTATTGACCCTTCCCCAATTCAGAATCAAGTTACGAAAAAGATTAATACTCAATCGTCTAGTAATAAGAACAAGCCTTTTTTTAGTGAAAATGATATGGTGGAGAATATTGTTAATCACTTGATCCAACTAAAACTTGATATGTTTAACAGAGAAATTAATAATAAGTTAATCACGAGTGGTTGGATAAATAATGAAATTATCAAGTTGAATGACTATGAAACAACCAAATTATTTAATTTCTTGACTGGCGATAACTTTAACAATTCGAATTTTAATAAAATCCAATTTTACAGATGTAAAAATTGGCCTCTAAGTTGGTTTCTAAGCAATTTAGTAAGTGGTGAAAATTTCAGGACTTTCTGGTGGGTTGCTAGAATTAAGTCTATTAAAGGTGAATGGAAAATCCAATGGGTTCAGCAATTAAAATTTGATCAAGAAATGGAAACATCAGATGAATTGACTTTAAATTATAAATTCTTCAATAATTTATCAAGCTTATGTTCTAATATGATTATTGATCATATGGTTTTAGAAGAATTGCAAACTAAAAAGATCCAGTATATTCAAAAACAATCGAAAGAGAAAGCTGCTGAACTTTTAAATAAATTTCAGATTGATGAGGTTGAGGATGAAAATATAAAACCTGAAGAGACTAATAGCCCATTTGTTTATGAATCTATCATTATGCTCTACAATGATAATAGGTTATTACCAGTTTCCAATTCTTCAACAAGTTTATTCTTGAAAATAAGATTAATTACATTAAATAATTCAACTCAAATGAAACTAAAACTTTTCGGTAATTTGCGGAACATTCCTAATACTTTAGCGGAAACCTTCAATCAATTGAACTTACATATCAGCAAATCGCAAAACTATTTTGAGATCAACGATATTGTCAACTTATCAAACAAAATAAACGATTCGTCTATCAAGGAAACCAGGTTGTTAGACTCGATCTTATTGAAATTAAATGTTCTAAATGAATTGATTAAGGTATTGTACCAATTAGATCAAAATAGCATTGAAATTGTAAATAGTTCCATTGATAGTATTCAAATTAAGATCGATGAAGAAAGTAATAATTTGACTATCAAATTACCTGAAATGGATGAAAAATTTAGGTTGCTTAGTTCTAATACCGAATCAAATGAAATGAAATTAATCATAAGTTATTTAAACAAATATTTGCTGATGACAAGTAAGGTTCAAGAGAATGAAATCATTGGTATAATCAAATATTTGAAAGAGATCACACCAATAATTAAAACAATCAAATCTGTCAGAACCACCTTAGATGAAAAAAATAAATTGAAATTAAGTAACGGACTCAGCAAATTGAACTTTGATATTGAATTTCAAAATTTGAATTTAATTCAATTCGTTTATTTTTTAAATCATACTAATGTCAACTCAAACAAAAAAATTTTAAAGGATAAAATTGTTATTAAATTGAATTTTATGAGAAACAGGTTTAATAAACAAGATAGATTACTATTGAAACTTTCAATGAAAGACAATTTAAATTCAAGAAATTTAAAGTATAAGAAATTATTCGAATTGATATACAAAGGAATTAGCGAGGTTGACAACGCTAACGGGCTGAGAATTACGAAATTGAATTACGATTTTATTGTTGACAGCCTGCTAATCAACGAACTAATGATTAAAATAACTAATGCTTTTATTCTTTATCTAAGTGACAATGCATAAGTATTTATTACATAAAAATTACAATAAATATACAAGATTATAATGTATTACCCAAGTCCTTAACCCTAAACCTTAAAAAAATTAAATATACCGAAATCATAAAAATCATAAACTTACCTTCTAATTAATGTTCTCAAACAAACAACTATGATCTTTCTTAACGCACCCTTCACATTTATTCAAAGAATCGTTGAAGACACATTTAATTTTTCTTCTTCTACAAGCACTGCAGGATGATTTTCTGGAGCCTAAAGACGACAGATTTGGCTTCTTCTTACTAATTTTGGATTTGGCAGACGAAGCTTCAGATAATGTGGATGATATAGATGTAGGTTTCCTTTTATTGTTCAACATTATATCTTCTTTGGTAAAACCCTTACCAAAACAGCATGGCAAGTTTTTAGCATTGCAAGATTTACACGATTTAAATTTAATGAGTTTATCGTTAGATATGATGACATTAGCGTGTCCTTCGATTTCGACTTGCTTGTTCTCAAGTAAGCCTGCAACAATATGAGATGAGAAGAGCTCTTCAAGATTTGCAGTCGATGCCAGCTTAGATAATATAATAATTTCCGCATCACATTTAACTTTTCTAGTACGGCACGAATCACATGACGGGCCCAACCTCTGTCTTCTCTTACGGGCCTCGGAAGACTCCGAAGCAGTCAAAGTAGGTGGAGAAGATACAAAGCTAGCGACAGATGCTGAATCAGACTTAAGGTTAGCCAAAGCAACAGGAGAACTTATGCCAGATAAATTCATGTTTGATAAGCTTGGAGACGACACAGGCGACGATGACGCGGATGATGAAGTCAACGAAGGAGGGGACGAATGGTTCAAGTTCGACAAATTTCCTTCAGTTAATCTGATAGTTGTGTAGTCGTTAAATTTAATATCACTTAATGGCGGCAAAACAATATGGCCTTTCTCATTATGGGATTTGGTGAATCCCTGAGGTCTCGATGGCATAGGTAACGGTAGCAAAGGTATACTACTATTCACATTATGACCCTTATTCATGATCGAATAACTTAATAAATCGTTAGCAGACATTTTATAAACACTTTAGATCTTCAATATCTTTTTTTTTAGCTTCTTTGTAGGCCACCCTTAACTACGTAGAAATCCTGGCGTCTTTATATAATTGCAAAAATTTCACGGAACATTTCTGGGGTATCCGGACACAAGGGGTGACACAGAAGTCCGATGGTGGTCCGAATACACATAATTTGACAGTCTTCCGAGGTAAGCTACAACTCCAGTTTTTTTCCAGACTAATAGTTCGGTGTCATTAGGGTATTGCCAAGGTCTCATGAAGCAGCAACTGTTGCCTAAATGTCTTGATTTATTGCTTCTTGCCCGTAGTTCGCTCTCACAAGATGCCTGAGAGTCATCGTCTTTAAGGAATACCTCGGGATGACTCTCCTGGTAGCACAGGAACTCCAAACGGAGAATCACGGAAGAGTCTCAATCCATTTTTCCATTTCGCTGCGTCCTCCACCAAATTGTATAAACTGGTGCAAACACTACCTTTTCCCACTAAAATGCAACCGTTTTTACGTCCCGGCGGAAGTTTTTACCGGTAAAAATCTGCCAAACGCAACTTTGGTCCGAGTTAAAAAGTCGCTGAAAGAATAGGCATCGGACATAAATATTTTTCCGGGCGTTTAGAGGTAATGCGCGACATGCCTCCGCAACTCTCAGCCGAGGTGAGAATCAAAGGCTGTCGCATCCCTTGATCCGAAATCCTACGGGACGACGCCTTATTTCGTACGACAGCGGTGCGATAGATTTTAGCCACTCCGATGATTTTTTAATCTCCGAGTGAGTCCGAGGTGTAAGGATCTGTGTGATGCAAGGTTGTGTTACCAATCGGGTCAAAATTGGACCTGCATGCTCACTTAACTAATACTAAAAACTTATTTACAAAACTTCCGAATTAGGAATTTGGGACATCCCGTCTATCTAAGGAATTCAAGTTCAAATATATCAAACACAGAGAAAGCATAAGGATAGTTATATGGTACTGGGACAAGACATGGACGTAGATACGTCATTGAGTACACCTATTAAGAAAATCAAAGGGTTGAGCCTTGGGTCACCGTTATATCCTAGCTTAAATGATTTTCAACTGGATAATATGGCGAACCAAATGGTCAACAGAGGATATTCACAAACATTAACGAACAATGTGTTAGAAGAACTAAACTCAAGGGCAAGTGAGCTATCACCAAACATTTGTCTGTCTCCATCTAATACTATGTCAACAACAAGTGCGAGTCGAAGAAACAAAAGGTACTCTGGAATCCACAGAGCTAAATTCAACAAAATGGAATCGATATCAAATCACTACTCCGTCAAGGATAGGGATGCCGATTCTAGTATTAATAGAAATGATGTGGGCAAGAGAAACTTGGCCAATATGGATATCATCAATAAAAAACGAAGAACCTTGACGGGAATGGAACAGACATTGAAACTGTCTCCCGTAAAATATACCGTTCCACAGAATAGTTCTCCTATTAAGGAATCACCCCAGAGTAGTCCAATAAAAAGAATTTCACCATCGAAGAAATCTATGAATCTTAACAAGTTATTAAACGAGGGTGAAGGTAAGAGATCCACGTCTTTAGGAATGGCCGGAGTCTCTCCAACAAGAGCACTGTCCGTACTGACTATCCCTAAGTTAGCTAAACCGACTCTGATACAAAAGGATAGTCATAGTTCGTCTCCACGCATCAAGCATTCAATCCCTAAATTGCATGCTACGAAGCTCACAAGTCAGGAGAATAAAGAGAATGCACCAATACCCAGACCACCATCTTCAAAATCGCAAAATTTGTCATTTAATACCACATTGCAAAACAATCCAGCATTATCGAACAGGCAACAGATCCCGACACTTTCACATAAGCTGTCTATACCATCATTATCACAAAAACTGACAATACCAAAGTTATCTCATAAACTGTCAATCCCAAAATTATCTCATAAACTGTCAATCCCGTCCCTTTCTCACAAGCAGTCATCATCGACATTCCAAAAACCTCCAACGCCATTATCAAAATCTAAATCTTCATATCATGATTCAATTAGGCTGATACCCATACAAGAAAAGCAGGCATTTCCTAAATCGAATTCCACAAATCTTAGTGCTCAACAACCTAAACGGTACACAATTCCAAAGCCATTCTCCTTATATAACAAGCCTACTATTTCTTCATCTCAAAAATCTTTAAACAAATTTCAAAGATTTAAAGACAAATTTAATTGAATACATTTGTATATTTCTTAAATGTTTACATATTATACTTAATAAATGTTAGTTTGAACTTTAATTTCACCACCAGTAGATAATATTTGTGCACCACTCCATTTTTCACCAGATTTCAAATTCTTAAATTCTCCAACATGGCCTGGTTCTATGCACAACATGTTCATGTAACCATCCTTTGGCTCGAAATCAGCCAAACCTTCAGACTTTTTGATCCATGGATTCCAAACAACGCTATCAGGCAAGTTCTCTCTTTGAACATTCATCAAAACCTTACCTAATTCGATCATTTGGAAAGTCTTCTGGGTATCAATACCTTTATAGATTCTGTCAAATTCTTCAGTAAAACTAATCATTGGAGCCTTTTCTTCGTATGTTTCGCCAATTAACTGATCGTAGCATTTAGCATCGGTAAAATTGTTAACTATTATGTCCGTGATATCTGGGATTTTGAAGTAGGTATGGAATAACCAGTTGAACTTAAAATCTTTATCTCCAGTATTCTCCACTTCGATATTTGTTTTTAAATGATCATTTCCCAAAGTAATTGACAAGATCAATGTAAAGTCGTATAATCCATCATTCCACAATTTGTATAAATCCTGGTCAACTTGTTCTGGACCTAAACCAAATTGAATCGTCACAGGACTTTCAATAGTTTGTCCCAAAAATTCCCAGGTAGAATTTCTTGCAAATCCATGCTGTGGTAATTTATAGGCTGGATTGCTCTCATCATTGCATTTTCCAAAACATGGAAATACTAATGGAACACCTCCTCTTACTGGCTTGGATCCATCAAGCTTTGCTGCTTTCGATAACCATAATTTTTCATCTCCCTTATTCTTCCACGAAATAATAGTCGCACCATACTTTAAAATGGTGACTTTAGTACTTGGGTCGTTTGGAAGTGTCAAAATGACCTCCGTTTCTGTTTCTTCTACTGGCATTGAATAGTTCTGTTCTTTGATTGTCGATTAATTAAGTTTATACTGAACAAGTGTTTTCGATATTCTAGATACCCCATTTGGTATGTGCACGATAATGTTTAGTCCTGTAGGTTAGCTAAGCTAACCTGGTATTATAGTAATCTATTTGCATGGTAGACTACAGTTCTCGTCCTTGTTAGACCTGTATAGAATTAATTTACTACTAAGCATACCTCAAGGAATTTTATGTAGCTAGTCACTGCGAGCGATTCGGCATTGGGAATTCTGGAAATTGTACGAACTTGCAAGGAAACCGGAGACCATCCTGGAAATTGTGTGTGCTCGTTTGTATACGTCTATGAGTAATTTACAATACGTTCCCATTGCAGTATATTTAGAAAATGTTTTAATTCTTGTTAATCGGTTTTATGCATAATATTTCGGATGATTTTCAAAAATTGCAAAAAGTTACCGAGACTTGCAAGCATAAGTTTCCAAAAGTAGGTATAATTTAGAACAATAAACAAACAAGAAATCATCTATCGTATGGTAAATATTAATATTTCAGGATCCCCAGTGTACGGATTTCTGTTGGTACAGTTCTAATAAATTAAAATATTGTAGGTCTAAGACGGCTCGTATCCCGCAGAGAGTTGTAAATCAATAACTTAGTTGCGAAAGTTATGATGCAGATAAAGTGGAATATTTCTATCACTAATTGTACGTTGCAGGCTTTAAGAACCGATTCTATAGATAATATTTGAATGTATAAACTGCAGTTTTTAAGCCTAGTTTTTAAGCAATTCTTCTCTACATGGTAATGTATGCGATTCAGCTGATATATCTTATTTCACGAAGCTTAATTACGCTGGTCATCCATATATCTTCTGAAACCACCAGCAAACTATCAACCGTTCAATCGGGCTAATATACTGCCTATACCCAATATGCTCAATTGACCTGGTTAATGGATGTAGTCCTTTGCATATGAGTGGTTCCCCTATTCTAAATCATCGCAAAAAGAAATTTTGTAGACAGGTTACACAAAGCCGGATTCCTTTGGTAGCCAGAAAATTATTTTTTTTGCTACTTTATAAACAACTGATTCCATACGTTAGTGGAAACACGGAGGACCTTTAGATTAATTATAATAGATTTGAGTGAAGACGGTAGAAATACTTATTACCAAACCGACAATTTTAAGACATTTGGCGGTTATTCTTAATTTTTATATTTATTTGTCAGGATTAATTTATTGATAGCTTCTAGCTGCGATATATTTGTAAAAGTTTCCGCCGATAAAAACTAATTGAAGTCAGTTCTTTTAGAAAGCAAATCATAATAGCATACAAAGATTTGAATATGGTGTCATCGTCTATATTAAGATCGAAAGTTATCCAAAAGCCATATCAACTATTCCATTACTATTTTTTACTGGAAAAGCAAAGGGGATCCACATTATCTGATTTATCGTTTGAAACTAATTGTAAGATCTCCATAGATAAGTTCAAGCACCACCAGTGGACCATTAACGAAGTATGTCACTATGGATTCTTAGTGTCCATAATCTTTTTTGTATTTATTATATTTCCAGCATCATTTTTAATTAAGTTACCTATATTATGTGCATTTTCCTTTTGCTTTATCATTCCATTAACATCACAATTTTTTGTTCATGCATTGCCTATATTTACCTGGCTAGCTTTCTATTTCAGTGCCGGGAAAATTCCACCATCATGGAGACCTGCTATTAGTGTTAAGATTTTGCCAGCCATGGAGACGGTTTTGTATGGAGATAATTTATCAAATGTGTTGGCTGAAATCACCAACTCAACCTTGGATATATTTGCTTGGATTCCGTATGGTATTTTACATTTCTCGGCACCATTTGTTGTTGCAATCTTCATATTTTTGTTCAGTCCTCCAACTTCATTAAGATCGTTCGGTTTTGCCTTCGGTTACATGAATTTGGTAGGTGTTATCATGCAAATTTTGTTTCCTGCTGCACCCCCATGGTACAAGAATTTGTACGGTTTAGAACCAGCCAATTATTCAATGAGTGGCTCTCCCGGTGGATTAGGCAGAATTGATGAGATTCTAGGAGTGGATATGTATACAACTGCATTCTCCAATTCTCCTATCATCTTTGGCGCATTCCCTTCGTTACATTCTGGTTGCATAGTCATGGATGTCTTATTCTTATGCTGGTTATTCCCAAAATGGAGAGCCGTTTGGTGGAGTTGGGCTGCTTGGTTGTGGTGGAGTACCATGTATTTAACTCATCATTATTTTATTGATTTAATTGGCGGCGCAGTATTGTCTATTGTTGTGTTTAATTATACAAGATACATGCATTTGCCTGTTATTGATCATAAGAAATTCTGTCGTTGGTCATATACTGAAGTTTACAAGATTGACATCAGCGAATCAGACCCGCTTTCTATTAACTTTAACAGCGGATCTAGTAATGACATAGAGGCCCAACCCCAAAGTTCTTTTTTAAATCCAGCTATTAATAACTATCCATATTTCTACAACCAAACTACTAATAACACTAATAATGAATTTGAAATGTCCACATTTTCTAGATCCAGACAAGCTTCGAGAAGTGTAATTGCAACTGTTCCTAGTCCTTCAGCAGCTGGAACATCATCATCGTCAGTCAACTTGTCAATTGCTAATGAAGAGTTACATGACGCCGAAGACGCTGATACTTCACTGCTTGAAAATAGTTCAACCCTTTCTGTATTTGAAGGCGAGCACGATAATAATAATTTCATAAGTTCTGCTGCGTCGTCAACTTCGTTGGATGATGTCGAATCGACTTCGAATTCACATTCAAATGCTAATGCAAATGATAAAAAACAAAAATATACCGTTAAGAATAGATAAACGAATTTCTAACAAACCTGATTTTATTAACTAATATTCATGATACCTAATAATTAATGTCTACTATAATTTCACCTAATGATTTATTAATTAACTAATATACTAATACTAAGTACTGACTAATACATGTAAGTTAATCTTTAATACTTTCGCTATATAATAAACTACGGTACTCTGCAAGTTACTATTGACGTAGAAAAAATCGTAGTACCCTGGATCGGGAGGTCCCTCTCTCTACATTCAACTCCACACATAGTATTATACAACCATTTATTATTTACACAGATTACTATTTAACTATTGACATTATTTTGGCGTACTACTAAACGCCCTTTCGAATGAAGTTCCAGTATTCAATTTTCTACTCATATCTTGTTTAATGATGTTAGCTCTTAACACTCTTGGATCTCTTCTCAAAGTTCTTAACAATTCTTGTTGAACATTGGATGACACATCAAATCCCATTAAGAAATGATATCCTTGGAAATGTCTTTCCTGATCTTTGGATACAATTTTCGGTAAGGTTCTTGGTCCTAAACTTGTTATGTCTCTAATTATCCCTCTATTATTTAAGATTAATTTTCCTAACGTCGAAACAATCTTGGTAGCCTCTTTGTTTGTTTTCAACGGATCTGATATCCGTGAAATGGCCATTAATTCATAGTACATTGCTAAGTTTCGTTTAGATTAAGCTACCATAAATATTCAATTTCTAATGAATTTTTTCACTGGTCGTTTTTTGTATAACTGACATAAGTTATACATTTTCTTACATAAGTTAGCGACAAACAGTATTTTGACAAGAAAGTAAGACATCACGTGGCTTGTTGCAATAGTTGACTCGAAAGATTATAGAAGGTTTGATTATGGTGAAAAATTAACAAAATTATTATCATTGGTTAAATCAGTAAACAAATCAGATATGGCTTCAAATATTACATGGCATCCAAATTTAACGCATGTTGAGCGTTCAGAGTTGAGAAACCAAAAAGGTGTCACTGTCTGGCTTACAGGATTATCGGCCAGTGGAAAATCAACCATTGCATGTGCCTTAGAACAATCTATTTTAGGTAGAGGATTAAACTGTTACAGATTAGATGGTGATAACGTTAGATTCGGATTAAACAAGGATTTGGGGTTCAGTGAAAACGACAGAAATGAGAATATTAGAAGAATCTCAGAAGTTGCCAAATTATTCAATGACTCTTGTTGTATTACTTTGACTTCATTTATTTCGCCATACCAAAAGGACAGACAATTAGCCAGAGAATTGCACGAAAAAGACAATTTACCATTCGTTGAGGTTTATGTTGATGTTCCTGTTGAGGTTGCTGAAACCAGAGATCCAAAAGGATTATACAAGAAGGCCAGAGAAGGTATCATTAAGGAATTTACTGGTATTAGTGCACCATACGAAGCACCAGATAAGCCAGAAATTCACTTGAAGAACTATGAAGGTGTCTCTATTGAAGATGCTGCGCAACAAATTATTGACTATTTAATTAAGAATAATTATGTTTAATTTATAGAAATATATCATTACTACTGCTACTGATGGATGCCTATCTTGGATCATTTCTTTAAATTATTCAACCTCGCTTGTAAGTCGTCTTCTTCGTTATTACTTGGGCCTCCAATCGCTTCTGCAACCCTGCCATTATCAACTCTTTCCTGGGATTGGACGTTTATTTGGCTTGGGGTATCTTGCAAGCTTGTGTTTAAGTCAACTCCAATTTCGTCTAATACCTTACTTAATATTTCATCGGCTTGTTCATCTTCACCTAACTCATCATCTTCTGCCATTGCATCATCTATTGCATCGTCCATAAATTCTTGCTTTTGATCCATCATGTCATTCTCTTTCGCAAATTCTTGAGCAATTCGTGATAATTGAGGTAAGTTCATAGACTTATTCATACCCGACAATAATCTTGTAGCGTCTCTCATAGACGTTGCCATTTGTTGATTACTGCGTACTGATTGAATACGCATCAGAATCGCTTGCAATTGAGCTTTCATCGAATTGAACTTCACGATATAATTTTTAGTCCTAATCAAATCCTTAGCCTGTAATTTAGCACTGGCTATCTGGCCCTGTCTAGCAGATTTCTTGATATCAGATACTAGCTTCTTTTCTTGATTTTGAAGCTTGGTTGTCTCTCTTGTTAGCTCTCGTTGTGTTTTTTCAAGTGCTCTTTGATTTTTTCGAAGTCTCTCTTGTGGAGTAAGCTTTTTGCCGAAAGCCCATTCAAATAATTGTGACATCCTCTTTGTATTTTCTACTTCCAGGTTGCTTTATTTGAAGCTTAAAATTTCGTTGCTACTCGAATAATTAATATGTTAGATGTGAATTCCTTCCCTTATCATTCTTATAATAATAATCACTCTTTCATATCGCTACAGTTTATTACACAAAATGGGAAACAACACTTACTAAATATGAATATATTTATATACTTATCTATCAAAGCTTAACATCTCTAGATAAAGCCAAGCGGACAGCTTTATGACCCATTGCCAATCCTGCTTGGTATCCATATCCACTAGCACCATAATTGTGGATTAAAACTTTATTATTGTTGAAAGTCTCCTTTTCAATTCTAGGGCCACCATGTCTGCTTGGTCGTAAGCCCGAAGCAACTCTTAAAATTTCTAAATCCTTAATACTAGATCCATTAGGGTTTTCTTTCAAGATCTTTGGGTGAAGCTTAGTAGTCTTTTCTAAGATTTCGATAGTTTCCTTCTTAAACGTATCTGCAGTCCAATTGTCCTTTTGAGTGAAGCCACCGAGTATCAATTGGTCATTTGAATAAGGTCTCTTGATAACATAAGTAGGATCTGAATCTGTCCATCTCATGACATTTTCTTTGATATGTGGAGCCTTGATCACCACAACTTGTCCTCGTGTGGGGTAAACGTCCAAATCACTAACTCCTCCTAATTTATGGGCACCAATTCCTGTGCAATTAAATACAATATTTGTGTTAGAGGAGTACGCATCGGAAACATGGGAGAGCTTTCTTCTTGTGAACTTAATACCATCATTTTCTAAATAAACCTGAAAATTCAGTAAGAATAACGGGCAATTAAAGTTCCATGATCTAAATTTGATCCCAAATGCTACCCCCTGTGGCAAATCAGAATCAGCAATAGGTTCATATTCTTCAAGATATTCTTTCAATGAATCTCTTTTTACTTGTGATGGCATGGAATCCCAATATTCAGTAGATATGTAGCGATCTAACCCACATTTACTCCCCCCTAATTTTGCTTGCACCTTATGCAAATTAGTATACGTATATCTATCAAATTCTAAAGTTTCCGGATCATCACCTGTAATACATGAAAAATTACCGCCAGCATATGGAGATGTATAGTTTATTGACTCATCCCCAGGTAAAAATTCGGCGATTACTGAAATGTCTGTTGATTTGATACCTTGTTCGAGAAGACCAAGAACAGTGTACAATCCAACTATACCAGAGCTATTATGTTAGTTAAGTTCGGTCATACGTTCCTAAGTCAAATGATACTTACCCAATTACAACGTATTTAGTCATTATGGTCAAGAAGAAAATGCGGGACAAGTTTTGGGAAATTCGGACTTAAATAAAGTTGAGAAAAATTAATTAAACGGTTACTCCGTACTATTTACACTAAATAAAGCCGATTGTTCGCTTTCATCTAAAGCGCCGTGTGAGTCTAAAATTCGGTAAAGCTTTTGAATAACTGCCTCGTTACTATCATTTTTGATATCTTCCATACCATACTTGTATATAGAATAGATTCCAAATACGGCACAGAAGGAGCATATGAAGAATGCAATATAACCCTTCATAGTAAAACCAGCAGGTAATGGATCAGGTTGCAAATTTTCTCCACTCAAGTCATGCCATATATCTTTTGAGTCGCCATATCTACCGGCTGCATTACCTTTGCTGGATACATTAGCTGAGGTACAAGCATCCAAATGATTAGAAGATAAGCTTTGTGATTTTTGTATTTCGAACGGAGCTTCAACAAGAGTGATTGCAAGCCCTTGTTCTAAATGCCAATCTACATGGCAATGGAAAAACCAAACACCTGGATTATTTGCCTTGAATCTTAAAACGATAAAACCATTTGGATTTACCATAACTGTATCACGAATCATGGGGAAATCTGGAAAGTTGGTATGATCTGGATTTTCTGGGTCATAAACAATGGGATCTTCGGCATCTTCCCCGGCTTCAGATCTCGAAATCACTTGGAAAACATGCCCATGCAAATGGAAGGGATGCTTCCCGTCATCCATATTATTAAGAACTATTTCTACTACTTCATTATGCTGTAAGACATAAGTATTAGTATTTGATCCATAAATTTCTGTATCTCCAGCATGTTCACCACTTGATAAGACAGTTAATAATGTAGGGACTTTTGGTAGAACATAAGTTATATCATTGAAAAAGGCATAGTTGACCCCGTTACCTAAATTATCCATCGTGAAATCAAGTTGAATTTGATAATCAAAATCAGGAAGGAGAGGTTCTCTTGATAATGGCTTTAAACCGAAATCATCAACTGGATTAAGCTTTTCAGTAAGCTTTTCGAATTCATTAGGACCATTTTTTAAGGGTTGAGGTAAATCTTTATCATTGTATGCAACCCAATTCGTGGAAATAACTAGTAATTCATCTGGCAAGAAATCTAACATTTCCTCATCCAATACATTAACAAATCTATAATTTTTAGCTTTAGATTTTTTGGTGTGCACTAAGACGGAAATCCTCTGTGCAACAGCAATATACAAAGAATCAGTCTCTACTGGTTCTACCAAGTTACCATCAATCTCGACAATAGTAAAAGTATGGTCTTCAATGTACAAATATTGGGACGTAAACATACCCATATTCACAATCCGAACTAGGTAAGTTGTATCTGGCTTGACATGCCATGTAGAATTCTTCGTATCATTGAAGAGTGAATTTTGTGGTATTGGTTCAGCTCCCGTTGGGTTATATCTACTTAAAAAGCTACTCATGACATCAGGATATTCCATATGATACCAATCGCTAACAGTCAATGTGGTTTCCTCATCATATTGAAATGGTGGTTCTTTATCATCTTCAACTATAAACATACCTCTAATCCCATCACTATATTGGGCTCCAGAATGTGAATGGTACCAGTAAGTACCCGCCTGTTCGGTGACAGTAAAATTATACAAGAAAGTGGAGCCTGGTGCAATAGGACATTGGGTCACCATTTCAGCACCATCCATTGAACTAGATTCTTGTTGGAACAAACCATGGAAATGTAATGAGGTGTTTCTGTCTTCTATTAAATTAGTCAAATATATTTCAACTCGATCATTTTTCTTGATTCTAATAGTAGGTATTGGCCATTGATTATTGATCCCTATTACTCTACGTTCATGAACCCCATCTGGGTTGGCAGTAATATAACTGGCATTGAAATGAAAAGTATGAGTTTTAGCAACTATCCCTAAAGCAAATACTATGCAATATAAAAGACTTATTATTTTCATAATATTGTTTCCTAGTATAAGCTACTAATGCCTTCTTCTATTATATGGAAAAAGAATTGTCTTCAGTTATATACCAAGAAAAAAAATATATCTTCAAATAAATCACGTGTATAATATACATACATAATCATTTCTATCACTAGCTTCCGAATGTCTTCAATTGGATTTCTGATCCGTCGTCATCACCGAGATAATTTTGATCACTTGAGCTTGTATTAAGTTTAACCAAATCCTCCGTCAATTTCTTTTGTTCTTCAGTCAAAACATTATCAATTACAAACTTGAAGGCCTCCGTGTTTTGTTGTATTAGCGATAATAACTTTTCATGCAAGTAAGATTTGTTAAGATTGCCCTTATTATCATTATCGAATTTAGTCAATAATGGCATCAATATCGAAAACAAAGATATAATCTTTGCTTTATTAAATGTATATGATTTGGAAAACAAGAAGAGAATTTCAAATACAATTTTTGGATCCAAATCCAGTGTGTCATCCGCGAGAAGTTTTATTAAACCACTTATCAAATACTTCATGACAAGACTATCTTTCGAGAGTCGTGATGAATACTGAATCAATGATTTGATGCATTGAATACCTATTGTGGTTGATTCGGGGGATCTTAAAACTTCAATCAATGTGGTGCTAAACTGATGCGAATCCTCATCATTCAATTCAATGTCACCAGAAGTAATAAGAATCATTGTAGTTAAAACTGAGTAATCATTCGCCTTATCAACTTTATAATATTTACGAATAATCTTACTGAAGCAAGATACCAAGTCAGTATTCTCGAACGTCTTTGATTCAGCAATGATTTGCTTTAAGTGGGGCAAAACAGTTGAAATTAATAAATCATTACCATTCTCGTAGAACTTAGCGAATATAAACAATAAGCAAGAATAAAGGTCTGCTTTAACGACACTAGGAAATCGACACATCATATCCACCAACTTATGCAAGCAGTTCTTTATCAAAATGAGATTTGCGCTGCTATCAGCATGTTTCATGAGCAACTGAGTTGATTCATTACTTGGGTCGAAATCTGTTCGTAAAAATGGAACAATATCAAACAATGGAAGCATACAAACTCTTATCAATTCAAATAATTTGTCGAAACTTTCTGTTAAATCGTTATGCTTATTGGTAAAACTTAGAAAGGTAGTACTGATAGTTTCAATCAATTTACACTTTATATCGGTATCATCATCTATTAAAATCAATCTGTCAAATAGATTGATTACTTCCCCAAAAATTTCATCGTTGAATATTAGATCAATCAAATACGGACTTTGGACTAATCTGTTCAAAGAAACTAATATTTCTGAGACATTCTTATTTTTTATTAAAGATTCAATGCACTGACTGAATAAAATGAAAAGGAAATTATGAGCATCACCAGATAAATATTCATCGACAAATTTATCATTCTCTAATTCTAAACTCAAAACGTTTATTAGATTCAACCAATAGCTTTCATAAATTGCCAATTCCTTTGAGGCAGTTTCATTATACTTCAACATAGAATATTCCCGTAAGACTAAGATCCATAAAGAATTCAATAACATTGAGTAGTTATCAAGGGTTTCAACTAACTCAGGTTCTGCACTTTCTTCATCTTCTTGAACATTAATTTTTAATAATGCCCAGCAGTTCAAAATAGATAACTGTATAGTCTTTTTACCAAACTCAGACATATTCTCTAAATAACTAAATCTTAAAAATTTGCTAGACGATATCTCTTCCAACAAGCAGATCAAAGTCTTTAATATTCTATGCTTCGAATAGAATTTGATTCTGGGTAAATTAATAAACTTGGATGATACGTTTATTGCGTTAACAATGACTTTTGAATTATTGTTCGCTTTAAAACAAGGAATCAAGGCACTAATAATTAGTGCTTGCTGTTGCTCTAAAATAGAAACGCCGGGGTATAATGGATCTGCAAAATCTCCAAATAATCTTAGAGCCTTATCCAACAAACCAACACCTTTTAATTTAATAGAAGTTATTGGGGAAGAAGAGCCCAAAAATGAAATCTTGATGATATCTTGGATCTTCATTTTCAATTGTTCTAGAAGCTGGCTGTTTTTATTAGAATACTCCAATAAATCATTCAACAAATCAAATATAAATAATTTAAATTCCCATGTAATCGGTTCATTTTTATCAGATGATTCATCATCATTTCCTACAATATTTTCTATTTCTTCGTCCCTGAAATCAACATCAGACTTAGTTTTCTTTTTCTGTCTTTGTTGTAAAGGTAACAATTTTTGCAGATAATTAACTTCAATAAATGGGCCAATCAATTTCTTAGATGAATATTTGAATAGCGAGTTTAGAGTCATAAACCAATTCATTTCTAGGCTTGATTCCATCCAAAGCCTTATCAATTGTTTGAGCTGTTCGCATGGTTTCAAATTCATTGCAATCCATAAAATCTTTACCGTTTCTTTCGATAGAATTTCACTACCATATATCTTTATTAAGCCAACATAGCATTCAAAAGCTGATTTTAACAACAGGAAGCTAGAATTAAAAGGAAATATTATATCTTTATTCAATGAAGTAGGACTGGTAGTTACCAATCCAACTTTCAAATTTTTAGATATAATTAAATCAAGTAGATTTGTAAAAAATTGAAGACCACTTTTAATCAATTTTGGATCAAAAATAATCAATTCTGGGAAAATGTTTAGGAGGTTTTCATAAACTTCAAGATAATCGGATATAGTAACACAACCAATACCATAACTTAAGGCAACAATTAGATCTCTTATTTTCAATTTATCATCATTTCCAATAAGGCGTAAATTAGGTCCTAACGAACTTACACATAGTTTAACCAACTCAGTCACTGTTCCAATTGATCCAAACTTACATTTCAAATTAATTAGAAGCTTATTTTCAAGATCATAACCGTAGCCATCGTTCAAAAATATATTGTACAAGTTATCCAATAGTTCGGGAATTACATGAAGATTATCCAAATTACTTTCAAGTAAGATATTTGTTGCTTTCAATGAGTAATGCAAAACAATTGGATTTGGATCTTTAAGTAATTGTAATGCAACATTATACACATCAGAAAAACCAATATGAGTGTATTGGTGTATTCTGGACAAAGATAAGATAGAAGCACCTCTTTGATAGGGATTAATATCATTGACAATTTTACCAATAAATTTGTTTATGTTTTCATTCGTGAATTCTCTATCTTTAGTAAGAACACCACATGCCAAGCCAACAGAATCGCAGTTAATAAATAAAAGCTCCATATTATTGGTTTCAATTTTCACTAATATATCTAGTAAAACATTCAAGATATCTTTCTCCAAAATTTGCTTCTTCTTTATAAGACTGCTCAAAACTCCGTGCAACGCAATGGAAATATTCACACATACAGCCTTATACCGTAATGGGTCAATGGATTTTGCAGTGAGGAAATTTCTCATCTGTTCTAGTAATGAAAACTGAATTTTTGGACTTAAATAGGGAAAAACTAGCTGAAATAGTTCAATAGAAAGGTCTATAAGTGATGTTATGATATTTGATGAAAATTGCTCATTAACAGAATAATCTTGAACTAAGTATATATTAGGATCATAAATTACATTATGGTCCACTGACTGCAATATAAGGTGTTCAAAGTAATCAAACCATGCATAACTCTTGTCTTCGAAAGGAGATTCAATCATAGATTTTGGTGACCCAAGAGACTGTTCCTTGCTAGAGAACGCATCGTTGTAAGATATGCTTGTGGCAGTGCTCTTTTCGGCAGTTTCTTCGAGGGTAAGTTTAATCAATAATTCATCAATATTCGAGGTATAACCTTGAAATTTACTAGTTACACCAAAAGAATAATTATAATCTTCACCCAAAAGAATTATATCATTATCATAGTCATTGATTTTCGTCTGAATTGCTTTGTTACTGCTGGATTTAGACTTTTCTTTAGTATGCTCGGGAGGGAAGCATCTAGAAAAGATCTTGGAATCGCTAAATAGCTTAACTAAGAATATCACCATATTTGAGTTTATATCATTTTTTAATAAGGCTGCAAGCTTGATAAAACTTTGTAGTAAAATATTCTTGCTGTATAATATCAAACTTATCATCACACGCTCAAAAGATAATTTCTTATTAGCATTAAAATTTGAATAATGAATATTGTTCACCATAGTCGGATTATAATCATTTTCATTAAAGTCCAGGCTCGTAAAATTAGTTATAGGACCAACTCCTTCAATATTATTTTCTAGATAGGTCAAGTAATTATACGATTTAGTTAATAAGAATTGCAATTGCTTTAAAGATTCTGGAGTTAGTTGGACTGAGTTCAAATAATTTAATAAGCATATCAAACTAGAGTTTCTTAACTTTAGGTTGTCAACTATTTCACGTTGTTGTCCCTCCTGACTACTATTATTCAATGAAGAACTAATAAATTGTGATGTCAATAAACCCTTCCAGAATACCAAAAATTGGGAGGAATTCAATTTAACAAATTCAGAATCGTTATAGAACGTAATTAAAGATGATAAGATAGTCCAACATGCTGAATTTCTAACGGCATTATTATGACTATTATGCTTTAAACTTTGGGTACAAAAACTTAAAATCCTCACAATAGTTGAGTTTTGAAGCAACGTAGAATCTGTTTGCTTTATCAAAGCCAGAAGTGCCAATGAATAACTCATTAATCTTACATCAATTAAACCACAATTGTGCTCATCAACATTGCCAACAACATTCGATTCGTGCTGACTATCAGAATTTTTATATTCATGACTCACTAAATTGTATAGATCCAATATCAATTGATTGGTTTCGACTTCATTATTTGACGCATATTTCAATAATGTTGTCAAAGCATAAATTCTGATGCTAGTTCGATTATTGATAAGCAATTTAAAGATAATGTCTCGTACAAATGATTTATCATTATCAGCAATTCCTTGTTCTTCTTCTTCTTCTTCTTCTTCTTCTATTTCTTTGGAGATATTCGCCCTTTCTTCATCGCCATCGTGTATTTCTGAAGATTTTTCCGGTAAAGCTTGTTTAGTTTGTACTATTGAATTAAAATCCAACCCAAATGGTAATAATATCTCTATGATATGCAATAATAAATAGCATTGATATGAATTTTGATATGGTATTATTTCTTTCTGTCTTGCATCTTTGCTTTTTAACTTCAGACTGCTCTTTCCTGTCTTGAAGGTAAATAATTTTGATTCTCTTTTATTATCTCGATTATGAGACGTTTTAGTGTTGATCGATTCAGAAGATTGTTCAGTATTATCTGACAATGAGTCTAAATTGAATTTAGAATAAGTATAACCCATTAGTATTTCATGACAAGTCGATCCGCTTTCGTCGATAATATAATCTAATATTGACGTGAAATGCTTCAAAGTTTTATTCCAATATTGATTTTGTATGTGATTATCGACATCATTTAGCTCACCGAACTTACACAATAAAATATCCAAAATAGTAACCAAATTTCCTGATAAATAGTCTGAATTTTGAAATTGTTCCAACTGAATATAGAATATTAAGGTTTCAATTATGCCTGTTTGATATAATAACAAATCAGTATTTGTACGTATGATATTTTCACTATCATGATTCCAAATAGTATTCTTTTCCTTTCTTACATCAACAGTCACTAAATCATTTTCAGTACTAGTCATTGCAGTTAACGAGTCATCCCAACTATTAACATGAGGCAAGGTATACTCATAAGTCAAATATTCTATTGGATTGAATTTTCCTGTGGGAATAAAGTTAATAAACAAATAAGCTAGAAGTTCAACAGTAGCAATCCTAACCTCTTTGCAGAAGTTAGTAAGACCATAACGGAAAAGTTTTTCATTATTAGATAGCAAATTCATTTGAAATTGATGTTGTTGTAACATAATTGCTTCAGGCTTTAATTTTGAGCCTGCGGATGAGGAAGAGGTTGATAATGCAAGCAAGTTTTCATAATTTGACGACACGGAAAGCAAAAGAATATTCTTCAACACTAACATATAATTTTTCTTCAATAGAACAGTGGACGAGATATCACTACTTGTGGGAGCAAAATTTAGGGGTAATTCAAAAGAAATATTGAAATAGACATTCTTGTTGATTATTTTTAACAACTTCGCCTGTAATTTATCATCAACGTCAAACTTCGTTGCATTCTTAGTAATAGAATTTAATAAGGAAATTAAGCTGCTACTTATATCTGGATGTTTCTTTATGATCTTATAAATTTGGTTGACTGAGAAACTCACCAAAGAATTCAACGAATTTGGATAAGTCTCAAATAGATCTATAAGAAGTATTATAGAGACTTTCGCAATGGGAGGTAAACTTCCCGATTCATTTAAATTTAAATGGTTAAGTAATGCGTTAGCAAAGTCGTATGTTTTCGTGGGCAATTGAGCAAGAACTAGTATCAAATTCTTCGAAATCAACTTGTAAACATTCAAAGAAAGCTTACTCTCAGCACTTTCTATATCGCTGGTATCGTTGGTTTCCTTTGATTTTGTCTTGCCTTTAGGCGGCTGAACAGACTTCAATTTTTCAACTAACTCTGATAACTGTCCTAGACATATATTAAAATCAATCTCGAGCTCAGGATCATCATATCTATTTAGTCTGCCATTAAGTTCAATAAGGTATCTCAAGATATCCTTATTATCATAATTCTTAATGAGCTTAGAGAATTGATCACTATTCATGGCTAATAAGTGTTTAATTGATATATATATATTTCGATTCAAACTTAGCTATTGATACGTATATATATTCTGTTTACTTGCGACATTATGGGGACGAACTTTTTGTGTCACGACATTTTTTGTGTCAACAGAACAGTTGCAAAATATAAGATATGAGAGCCGAGTAAAGATTTAATTGCTATTACTTAGACTCAATGATTTGAAAGTATCAAAAATGTTAGCTCGACGATGACGTCTCTTTTCCTGACGTATCTCTGGTACTCTTGAAGAATCTTTATTATTCATACTAGGAGAACCCTTTACTGCTTCTAATGCTTGCCGTGATGTTTGAAATTGATCTGGTTTATTGATCCCTTGTGGGTCCCTCGCATCTGAATATACCGTTGCAGATATATCCATTATTGGTGGTGATATTGGTAATGTTTTAGTCTTTTGAGAAGGTTCGATATTTTCTTTATCTTCTAATTTGCCTCGTAAAGTGGCTTTCGATGTATGCCTTGACAATTTCGTCGTGGGTAATGATTTCATGTGGGACGTGTACACAGAGTTTTTCAAGTTGCGTGCCTTCCTAGACATACTTTCGGAGTCAGTAGTTAATTGGTGAAGTTTTTTCAATGAGTCAGATTTTTTCATCCCCGATCCTCTGCCATGGGATAATGCATGAATATTCTTGGAAGAGGGAGGCCCGGCGTTTAAAATATCCTTCATGCTCAAGAACAGGCTTTCGACTTCGTTATTCTCGTAAAATTTCAATTTAGTTTCCAACGAAGAAACTCTGTCGTTTAATTCCTTGATTGTTATTTCAAAATTTGTAATATGCAATTGCTTCTGACTGTTAGTTTGTCTTTCCCGGTGTAGATCGTTCTCTATTACGGCTATTTTTTCTAATAGTTCATTATTGAATTGACCAGCTAATTCTAACTTATTACATAACATTCGATCATTCTCTTCCATATCATCGTTAACAATTTCCACAGAAACAAGTTTTTGCTTCAACGAGCTTATTTGTTTCTCATATTCTTGGGTTTTGGTGATGACTGTCTCATTTAAGTCAGACATTTCTTTATTAAGGTTAGAAATGGTCACTTTGGAAATCTGCAACTGCTCTTTTGACACGCCCAATGCTTCTCGAAGAGCACTATTTTCGTTTTCCAACCCCTGAAGCTCTTCTTCCAATGCCTGTTCTAACTCTTTACTCGATTCCTGAAACTCATTTAACTCCGACTCTAGTTCGATAACTCTCTGTACCACCTTTTCCTGTGATAATCGCTCAAGTTCATCTCTATTGAGCTTGGATGGAGATGAAGGCTCTTGTTTGCAATTCGGGCTTTCCATCTTGAAGAACCTTCTAGTCTGATAGTATCTATCGATGCATTAAAAAATTGTAAACATAAATAATCTTATGTGCAGGTTCTTGGCTGCTATATGATACCATCTACCACATCAATGCTTTAATCAATCTAACTTTGTAGAGTTGTTTATAATAGAATTTTAAGCAAACTGAGTCATCTGGTTTTGGTTAATATAATTAGATTATCATAAATACTTCTTTTGTAGCTCGAACTTATTTCTTTTTTTTCTTTTAATTTCATAAAGATTCATCAATATCCTGAAAATTATCAGTAGACGATATTCCGAAAAAATTAAATTGAGTTAAAGAGTTAGTGTATTACATTACTGAAACGGACTATCAAGCTTGTTTGATTTCAGAAGCAGATTCAGGATTCTATTCATTACAGTTGCATATATTAGATTGCAAAAACATGGTGTAATTGTAGTACTGAAATGCGTAAATGTGAGTATCGTATAATCACCAAATTTATAAAAAAACAACAACTACCAAGGAAGTGTTACCCTACTTTATTTATCAAAACAGCGGGTAACCCTTTTCAATAGAGAAGAAACAGTTGCAAAATAGAGTATGGAAGATCAACAAGAGATAGGTGGTGCACAGGCATTGCTTCAGTTAGGTTCGAAAACCAGAAGTGATGATGAGCACGAAGGCAAAAATGGAGAAGGCGATCAATCGCTAAATATTTCGAATAATGAAATCAAATTCAAAGATATGGATGATACGAACGGTGTCAATGTTGAAGAAGGTAACGCCGAAGGTGTTGAATCGGATTCAGATTTAGCTGATGTGAAAACGACGAACCAACAAATTAATGACGCAGTTGAGGCGGCGGTGATGAGATATGTTGGTGGGACATTAGATGGTACGGGAGACAATGCTTCCAATAGTGGGTCGAGAAAAAACAAGCGGAAGTTGAACCATGATGATATTATGTCGAATATCAATGAGTTTAACCAATGGACCGGATTTTTGGACGACGATATCACGGATAATCAGGCAGAAGAATTTAATTCGTTTGCGCAGCATCAAACTCAACCTCATGCACAACAACCTACGTCAAACAAGAATCTCAGGAAAAAGAAGAAGAAGAATAATCAAGTAGCCCAAACACACAATGAGATAGATCCAGAATTAACGGGATTAAATTCCTCAGCAGAACATGATCAATTGGTTCAGGCTGCGATCATAGACGCTAGAGAATTGGCGAAACAACTTGGAAATGGTTCTCTACATGACAATGATACATCGGCAGTTCATAATAGCTTGAACAATCTTCCTCCTCATCAGGCTCAACAAGTTATTGCTGCAGCTACTGCAGCTGTACAGCAAGGTCAGCCTAACCCTGAGTCGATTGCCGCAATCAATCAACTAGCCCAGGCTGCATCATCTTTATCAGGGGATTTGAATAGAAATAATAAAAACATTCCAAAACAAAGAAAGCTCTCAAAGATTGAAGATGGCCTTATTAATTATCAAGCAATAAAGCCTACGTCTAACTATCGTAAACCAAAATTCAATCATTTAACGTCCATTGATTCCTTGGTCGAAGAGGCGTCTGCTCAAGCATGTAACTGGTATAATAACCTACCACAAACCAATAGTAGCGGCCCACGGATTTTTTCGCCTGAGGAAATCTCGGCCGTTGATCATTTTATTACAGGATATTGCCATTTACACAAGTTGAGCCGCCAGGACATTTGTAATAGAATTTGGTCAAACGAGAGGAAAAAGGATAATTTCTGGGAATCTTTAACTCGTGTATTACCTTACAGATCTCGTGCATCTGTCTATAAGCATGTTAGAAGACAGTATCACGTTTTCGATGTTAGAGCAAAATGGACTAAAGAGGATGACGAACTATTAAGAAAGTTAGCATCAACTAAGGAAGGTAACTGGAAAGAAATTGGTGATAATATGGGTCGTATGCCAGAAGATTGTAGAGATAGATGGAGAAACTATGTGAAGTGTGGGGAGAACAGAGTGTTAAATAAGTGGTCTGAAGAAGAAGAGAGGAAGTTGAGAGACATTGTGACCGACATGGTCGCCCATATCGGAGATGATAATAAACTGAAGGCACCAACCATTAACTGGACAATTGTTAGTGAAAGAATGAATGGTGTTCGGTCACGTATTCAATGTCGTTATAAATGGAACAAGCTTGTGAAGAGAGCATCTGCAGCAAGGGCGTCTTATATGAATCAAAATACAAGATTATGGCTTTTCCAGAGGTTGCAGAGATTAGGCTTCCCAACATTGGAGAGTGTTGACTGGGATTACATTATTCATTTGTACAATGAAGAACAGAAAAATTCTGCAAATCTAGACAATAAGAAAAATGACCCAGATGAGAATTGGGTTGCCGCTGATTTCAAAGTTGGATTTGAAAAAATGAAGTCTGAAATAAAAGATCACAGAAAGATGTCTTTAGGAGAAGTTTTAGAAAGGCTTATTGAAGATTTCTATATCAGACAAGGCCAAGCTCCACCACGTACTCAAAACCAAGAACATCATCAACCACCACAACACCAACATCATGTTCAATTGCCGTTACATGACTCCTCCGATACCGTACACTATACCTCTACTGCACGTCAAGTACCAAACCTGGGTCACGTTCATGATGAAGAAGATGATGCAACCTCTATAGCCAATGCAGCCGTAGCAGCCGTATCAGCTAGTGTAAACGGAGACGATACACAGCAACAAGAATATAGTTTATGGAGATAAATATTATGTATACAATTGGACATTCTAACTTTTTGATAGTAATTTCGATGATTGAGGAGTTCAAAAACTTCTCGCGATTATCACCAAATTTAAAAAACATAACAACGTATCAGCTGAAAAAAAGGACAAACGACGCAAGCTAATATTCAATTGAAATACAGTAGAATTTAATAGCATTATGATTAACTACGACGACAATGACGAAAATTTGTTGTCGTTCTATAATATTTCTACTGTTAACCCTAGTACTAGGAAAGACTTGAATTTAACAAATCAAGAACAAATCGATTCAGACGAATTGAATAATCTCACAACAGACGAACAATTCAATTTATTAATTACATTAGTCAATACCAACACTGGCCACAATAATAATTCATTATATCGTTATGATGATGAAGATCCCGAGGACCCTCTTCGTGGTAGAGGTACAAATGTTATTAGGCAATTGATTCAGAAGGAAGTAATTTCTTCCAAAGATGACCCGAAATTAAATCTGTTTTTAATCTCTTCCCCGAATTTCGATTCACAAAGATTTTTGACTACTGTTCATCAAGATTCTTCAATTGATGAATTGGTACAGTCTTTAAATTTTTTGGAAAGAAACATACATAGTCAAACGGCAGAGTTGAAGCTGGTTATAGATTCCAACTTTATCAAATTCGTCGACTGTAAAAAGTCGATAGATGATATTTTAGTAGGATTCCGGCAACTGAAAACCAAAGTTCAACAAGATCGTGAAAACTCTACGGTTTTCAATCCTCAAAGACATAAAAATATGGACAAAAGTGAATCACTTTCTTCCGAAATTGAAGAATCATTAAAGAACATTAATATGGCATCAACCTTGCTCATAAGGCCTATAATGGAGAATAAGAGTAAAGAGCAAAAATTGAATACCTTAATCGAATTTATTAAA